TGATGTGTGTATGTACGTACGTACGTACTAATAATCTTCATAAATCGTCAGTTGACTTCTTGGTAGTGAATTAAAATCTATTCATCATTTAAAAAAGTTAGTAAGTAAAATTATAGTCATTTTGAATATTTTAAGTAGTTTTTTACCGTTTTCATATTGTTTACGTTCAAATTCTAGAGTTAATCTTTACCAGAACATAACTTATGTGGGAAATTTGCAAATATTTGAATTATTAGTAAATTACTATGAAATGGATATAGTATTTTCCAGTTAGTCAATAGCAACTAGGTACATTACAGCATCTGAACACAGAAATCATCCAGTTCCTGTGCTGTATATTTCTCATTTATCCATGTGAACGTTTTTCTTCCAGGAGTATTTGTCAGGAACAGGGTTTGAATTCAATTCAAATTTTGAAAAAAACCCAGTACATGAGCTATTTTTTTTTTTCAATTTGGTTTCCCAATTAAAAATATTCATCGTTAAAGTTCATTCTACGCTTTGATTTAATTCAAAAATAAAAAAATATATCTACTTGCAATACCTTTAAGTCAATTGGGTAGAAATGCTACAGGTTGAATAAAACAATTTTGTTCAAAACACTGCTCATTGTGTTACACTAAATGAATAAATGCGAAATATGCAGTATAGGTAGGTACCTATTGGATGATTTCTGTGTGAAACGCAATTCGTATATCGGAAATCCCTGAAACAAGTCGACTTTTCCTTCAAAGGGGACATCTTTTGATTATAAATTCATGGATGTAAGCTCATCCTTTTGAAAGAAACGGCAACCCCTTCAATGATGTTAAATTATGCGGTGGTCAAGTGGCACATCATTTTAAAGATATTTCATTTATCTTTTTAGCATTATTTTACGCTGTTCTATAATTAAATGAAGAAATTCTGTTACACAAGTAGGTGGAATAAATTGGGAGGGACTTCAACTAATCAGCGATAAACTTCAACTGTATTTGAACTACAAAAAAAGGTGGTAATCGAAGTATTCAGACGGTGATTGAATATCAACAAGTAAGTAAAGTTTGTTTCAATTGTACATTCTTGTTAACCATCACTCTCTTAATTGTTGCCATTGTCGGCCATTACAATCTTTAGTTGTTGACACAATGTTAACGTTGTCAGCCATCATTCTTTTTCAATTGTTGCCGTTATATCTCATTATGATTTTTTATTGTTAGGACATTATTGATGTTGTCGGACATTATTTTCAAGAAAATGCTGGTTGTAAATTTGTTATTGTCAAATAATTTTGAAACTATTCACTCTGTATTTNCTGTGTATGTCAATATCTCAGTTGGCCGTGGACAAAACTGTCGAAAATTTAACATTTCTTTTAAAAATTGTCTAAAAACGGTAAAAGATGCGTCAAATGCGATATTTTAAAGTCAATTGGGTACAAATGCTACTGGTCGAACAAAACAATTTTGTTCAAAACACCGCTGACGACTCATCGTGTTACACTAAATGGATAAATGCGAGATATGCCGTATAGGTAGGTATTGGATGATTCCTTTGTCAAACATAACTTTGTACATCGAGAATCGCTGAAACAAGTCGATTTTGCCTTCAAAGGAGACATCTTTTGATTGTAAATTCATGGATGCAAGCTTATCCTTTTGAAAGAAACGGCAACCCCTTTAAGGATTTTAAATGGTACGGTGGTCAAGTGACACATCATTTTAAAGATATTTCATTTCTCTTTCTAGCATTTCCTTGCGCTGCTCTACAATTAAATGTAGAAACTTTGTTGTACAAGTAGGTGGAATAAATTGGGAAGGTCTTAAAATAATCTGCGATAAAGTTAGTGCATATTTGAACTATAAAAAAAGGTGGTCATAGAAGTCTTCAAACGGTGATTGAATATCAACAAGTAGGTAAAATTTGTTCTAATTGTATATTCTTGCTAACCATCATTCTCTTAATTGTTGCCATTGTCGGCCATTACAATTTTTATTTGTTGGCGCAAAGTTAACGTTGTCAACCATTATTCTTTTTCAATTGTTTCCATTATATCTCAATATGATTTTTTTATTGTTAGCACATTATTGATATTGTCAGACATTATTTTCAAGAAAGTGTTGGTTGTGAATTTGTTATTGTCGAATAATTAATTAAATATTCAAATCGTTATGGTTTACTGCATTGAATCAGAGAGAATTGAAATTGTCACTCTGTACTTTAAGAACAATAAAATGCCTCGGGAAAGTACAAGAACTTTTAATCAAAGACATCCCGATAAAAACTTCAGCAATGTCTACGTAAGAATAAATTTTCTAGGCGAAAAATTTTAAATACGTCACCCTGTATATATGTATATATCTTAAAAATTGAAAGTTAT